GGCACGGAATATGCAATGCAAGCAAATCTCGCCCAGTATGAGGATGTGGCAGAGCTGGAAGATGACATTCTTTGCTTTCTGCCAACAGTTTCTGATTTGGATGTCTTCGGCTGTGAGTTGGATTTGCTCGACCTTCACACGCAGCAACCCCTGCCAGAAGCATTCCGCACGGTGCTCCTGCAACGGCCGAAACTACAAATTGTAGTACGTCCCTGCATGGTAGATGGACACTCCATCTGGCAGTTCCAGGAAGACGGTAGGGAAAGCTACCCCAAAGCTGTACGTGTCCCGGCCAACCCGCGTGGAGAAATTGCTGACAGAGCCTTCTATGCTGCACCCTTGCTCCGGCATGTAGAAGTGGCAATGGGCATTCAACATGTAGGAATTGCGGCCTGGCAGAGTTGTCAGCAACTGCAAATTGTCAGGCTCCCACCCTCGGTCATAAGTCTTGAAGAAGGGACCTTCCAGGGGTGCTACGTGCTGAGAGAGGTGGCCGCCCCGGGGTGTGTCCAGTACAGCCGAAGAGTGTTTGCGGAGTGCTGCTCCCTAGGTCGAGTTGGTGTCAGTCACGAAACGGAGGACAGCAACGTCCTTGCACCAGGGGCACAGCTAGGCAAATATGCATTTGAGAGTTGCCTCACACTTACATCCATCACCTTTGTCATGGACCACACCAATAAACCTCGAGCGCTGCCTGAAGGTGCATTTTGTGGAGCAGGCATTGAACAGCTCTGTTTGCCAAGTGACTTTCACAATATCGGGCCGCGGGCCTGTGAAAACTGCAAAAGACTTGTGGAGGTCAACCTCATGTGCACAGAAATCACAGCCCTACTCCATTCCACCTTTGCCCACTGTGTAGCCTTAAATTGCATATGGCTTCCACCACGGCTCACGCAAATTGGCAAAGAAGTTTTCCTTAATTGTGTTGTGCTCCAAGAAGTGGTCATCCCGACAGAGCTCAGTGACATAGGCAACCGTGCTTTCTGCGGGTGTGAGCAACTGAAACGATTTACTCCCCTGGATTGGGGAGATATTGAACAGTGGGTGCAGGCAGAGCACAATGCTTTCTTTATGTGTGACAAATTTGAAAAACCCCTGTGGGTGGAGCTGCTCCCCGCGGAAGGACCCGATTCGGACGCCTTTGACGAAGAGCTATACAACGAGTTCTCCTAACATCGGGCCAGTCCATGTGAGGTTCAAGGTGGGTGCCTTAGCATCTGTCTTTAGGAAACATCCCCGGCCCTAGGAACAGTCCATGAGCAGAGTCAGAAGCTTTTGGCTCAAACAGTAAATGAAAGCAGTCTGCCACACATGGAGCTCGACGACTCATCCAGGCTTAGCACTCCCCCTGAAATGGAGCCGGTCATGGACTGCTCCTTGGTACTGACAACGCTCTCGGGGGTGACTATCAAGGTCTCTCTCAGTGTGGCAAAGTTTGATCGATTTGAGGACCTAGAGGACCAGGTTATGGATTATCTGGCCTCAGTTACTGACCTCAAAGTGTTTGGGTGCTCCATCGACTTTCTGCAAACTGCCACGCAGACATACCTTGACGACCCAATCTGGGACAGGCTACAGCAAGGCATGGCATACACCATTGTCTTCAAGGATAGCAGTGTAATCCTGCCATCACAGGAACAACTCGAAGGATGCCCTATCCACCATGTTCCGCTTGCCGTTCATGTCCCTATGAACCCAGAGGAAATCGTCCCGGAAGGGGCTTTTGCAGGGGTTCCGCGTCTGCGACATGTCAGTGTTGAGTCAGGTATCAGGCTCATTGGAGCAGAGGCTTGGCAAAATTGTCGACAGCTCCGCGTTGTCAAATTGCCGGCCACTGTTGTAGGCATTTCCGATAACGCCTTTCGTGACTGCAAACTACTAAACAGTGTCTCGGCTCCTGGTTGCCGAGATTTTGGATACAAAGCCTTTGCGGAATGCTGCTCCTTACAATGGGCGTATGCATCGGAAGGGGTTGCAAATATGTTCAGCAACGAAGCCAAGCTCGGGCAATATCTCTTTCAAGGGTGTATCAACCTTGCTGAGTTTACCTTGAGTGAGCTTCCATCCCCCCGAGGGTCAACGCTGCAGGCCAGGACCAGTGAGCTGGCACCGGGCTGTCTTAGCTCTACGGGAATCACCGCACTCGCTCTCACGAAGCATTTTACAGCTATTGGAGCGCATGCGTGTGACAGTTGCCGACTGCTTAAGAGTGTAGACCTTTGCAACACCAACGTTGAAGAAATTCCGGAATTTACCTTTGTGCACTGCACTAGCCTCAGAGAAGTTCTCCTTCCGCCTACTCTCCATACAATCCGAGTTAAAGCCTTTATGAACTGTGCAGCCCTTGTTGAGCTTGCAATCCCGCCCTCACTAAAATACATTGGAAGTAGGGCTTTCTTGGATTGCACTGCTTTTAAGAGGCTCGCCAAGAGCCACGAAGGCACAAATGGCGAGGAGTCTATGCTGAAGAAAATGCTTTCGCCATTTGTCCCGATATGAGGTGGCCACCCTGGCTGCATATGATCCCGGACATGGGATACACCCCTGGTCTTGGATGAAGACCAGCCTCTCTGACCACAGCTATGGCGGTCTCACTGTCACTCATCAAGAGTCTGGGCGCGCGCCTTAGCTCGAGTCCAGAGTAGGCCAGAAGCCACAGCAGGCCAAATACCATGAGTAGCGCTAGCTTCGGTTGCAAGCATTTTGCACTAAAGCACCCGAATAGTGTCGCTCCGTGAGAAGGGAGGGCACAGCTCAATGCCCTAGCGTTCGGCTCTGCCAGAGCAGGATGCAGCGCACCCAAACCGAGACTTGCCGGACTGCAGCATTCTGGAGGCGGGCATTGTCGCACTTGCCTTACCCACAGACTTCCCAGGATAGGTTCCACCGCCTGTGCGAGCCGTCAACAGCTCAAATTGTTGATCTGTCCCAAACTGAGGATCACGGCAAAAGAAGCCTTTCTCAAGCGTACCTCTCTACAGGAGGTTTCCACTCCTGCTTTACATGGCGCCATGCGCTGTTGCAGGGAGTACGCACTTTCGAGCAATGTACAAACAAAGAAAAAGCAAAACATGGCGAAGGACATATGTCCTTGACAAAGGTGGGTAACTCGTCTAGTCCAAGCAGCACCGAGTTTTGTCGGCCGATGCCAGTGATCAATGGAGAGAAGACTTTCCAGAACCTGCACCAAAGACCAGCAATTCTTTCGCAGCGGGAATGATGGATAAGCACACCGCCAGTAAGCTACGGCAAGTGAAATGTGCAAACACTAAGTAGGATCGTCAATCTCTTTTCGCCATTCGCAATACAGTGAGCCAAATAGGAATAAGAGCCTTAGCTCCTCGTTTTTTCCAACAGGCGGGTGGTAGAGAGTGGCAATGGAGGATGGATGTCCGACATTTCCAATTTTGTACAAAGAGGTACAGATACCATGCTAGGATAGGTCCAACGTCTCACCTGTTTCACAGGGGCCTTGCACGCAACAGAACAATTTTTGCAACGACGCAGCATTTCACGAAGTTAGGGGACACCCGTGTTGGCACCTCTGTGCGCCGAAGGGTGCCGAGATGACCTCCCTTCCGGGGGAGTGTGCCTTTCGCACCCTTACCTGCAGGCTTTCGTCGCTTGCTATGGCCGCCACTGTCTGAACACTACCAACTACTATGCCTCTTGACTTGTAAGTGCGACCAGTTGAATGGGTTCTGCTACAAGAAAGGTTTTTTCCACGGCATGATCTGCACAGCAACCACTGATCCACTTTGATATGGATATTCCCCGCGTTAGAGCACATCAATGCTCGGAACCTGCATCGTGACCATGTTTTTGCCACACCGTGCAGTGGCCGCTGGTCACTGGTTTTTGAGATGTGAAGTCCATTTGAAGATTTCTTGGAGACTTTGCTAGAGCACAAACCCTCGCTGCCATGCTCTTCGTTCGAGAATTCAGGCCCATACTACAGGATGGTGGAGACTCGGCCTTTGGGCTGTGGTTGGCGGTTGTTTTTTGTTGCTGGGTTGTCTTCTTTGTCCTTTTCTCCACCATCTGACTGTATTTCCCTTCCTTCAATGATGACCTGGGCACCATGCCCACACGGCGTCAGTACTCGGGAAAAAAAAAAGTAGGGTTGTTCCTTGGGTTATTCCTTGGCGAAGCATGGCACCAGTGGACAAATCTTAGGTCTGAGGCAATCAGGTGATCCTCTAGGATGGAGGTGGTACCTATTTGCCAGGTGTCTCCCATTCGGCTGCACAACATGGGATACTGAATTCCTATAAACGGCTCATACACTTCTTGGGCAACCCTTGCGCTCGTTGGCAACATTAGACTCCAGCGGTGCGGGCTTGCGACTCCCGATTTCTCGGCCGCATTTTGTGCCTGTCTGAAGTCGAGCGGGCTGTCCCGGCTGGTGGCTGCATAATCTAGACCGACAAGAAGTCCTTCCAGGAGGTCCAGATTCACGCTGGAGAGGTCCTTGTAGGTGGATTGTGACTGACAGGCAAACGAAGACGTGGCCTTGACCTTGTCCGGCACCAAAAAAATACAGCGACAACCATACTGCCTGAAAGGACGTGGAGACGGAACCCATTCATTTCACCCAAGATGTTCACCACTCAATCCCAAGGGAAACCCAACCTATGATGCCCCCATTGGTTCCTGGACTCCAGGAATCAAGCGCCGGAGAAGACCATCCAAAAGAGAAGTGGAAGTCTTAGTCACCTTTTCAGCGACACCAGTCCCAGTACAGAGACTCTCACTGTGGCCAGACTGTACATTGAGCCCACTCTCAAAGGAGAGAGTGGACCGGTCGGTGACCCAGACGACAGGACCCTAACACTGTTAGGGAGCGACGGTCTTGTCCACCGTGAGCTTGGCTACCCACAATGAATTTTGACCGTCAGCCAACGAGCCTTCGGCCCGAGACCTTCCAGTGGTAGGGCTGTTTTACGACCGAAGATCGGGGGGCGCGTTCCATGGAAACCGGACTGGGCGACGCGGTGGGCATGCGCTGGACTGGCGTTCTCCGCATTGAGCGGAGGGTCTCTCATGACCTTTGGCTTTGTGCACAGGTTCTCACAGGTACCTCTTGCACCTTGGCCAGTTCCACCGAGTTAGGAGATGTTCGAATTACGATCTATGGAGCCTTGGTTGCGAGTGAGGGCGCGGGGTTTGCCCTTTCATGCGACCACGACACGAAGATCGTCCCTATCCCGCTATGTTCACCGATCCCCACATGTGCCAAAGAGGTCTGTAGTGGCTTGGCTAGCATGAGTTTGAGCGCCGCTGCACTTGGTATTGCACCGGTTGCTGCTATGGACATTAGCCCACTGGTGACGGCCCACTTGGACCTGAATGGTCACCAGAATGTGATTCTTGGCGATGTGAATCATGATGCTGATTTGTATCGCATTCATTGCTGTGGGCCACCCTCCGGATGCCTGTGGCTTGCAGGCTTCCCCTGTCAGGCCTTCTCACGCCAGGGAGACCGAAGAGGTTTTGAAGACCGTCGTGCCTCCACCTTTTACGGGGTCTTGAAAGGGGCCTGGTACAACCAGGCAGCCATGGTCATGTTGGAGTGCGTTGCCGAGGTCAATCAATATGAGGAAATCCACGATGGATTGCGAGCACTGGCTGCGGCCCTTGGACTTAGGCTGCTGACTAAGGTCCTATCGTTGGAACACACCTGGCCTTGTCGCAGGACTCGATGGTGGGCTGTCCTGATTCCTCCTCAGATGATGTTGACGCAGCTTCAACCTATGCCCTCCTTTGGCTATGACTCGGTGGACAAGATCATTCCCGTGTGGGGTCGATGGGCACAGTCCGATGAAGCTCAGCTGGAACTGGGTGGCCTTGAATTGCAGCTCTTGCATGATCCATCCATGGGACATGATCAGAGAGTCCTCCAGACATCCGGCTGCTGTGCAACGTTCCTACACTCGTATGGCAGTGCACTGGCACCTTGCCCATGTGGCTGTCGGTCAGCAGGACTGAGCCCACAACGTCTTGCTCGTGGTGGTCTTCGTGGAGTCTACGTGCATTCATGTGCCTCCAACCTTCCTCGCTGGTTGCATCCTCGGGAGGTAGCTTTGTTGCAAACTTTGCCGCCTGATCTTCGCATCGCAGATGACCTGAAGGCGACTCTGGCGCTCCTTGGTCAGGTAGCGGCGCCTGCTCAGGCGCTTTGGGTCTTGGCACAATGCTTCAGCTCTATGCTTGGTTCGACGGTGGTCCCTGAGCATGTCTTGCGCTCCTATTTGGAACGACTTCGGCTTATGGCACATCATACCCTTCCTCAGCACGGGCCAGATGTTGTGATTCGACCACATGTTGGAGATACCACGGATGCCGATCTCGTCTTCCTGACCTCCTCAGGCACATTGGTGAGAGACATGCGAGCAGCGATCAACCGCTGGGACTGCACCCAGGTACACTGGCTACATGACCAAGGTTACGTGGTGCCTGATCATGCATTTCTTCAGCACTCTGGACGAACAGGCAAGTATGAGTTGGTTACAACGCCAGCAACAGCAAGTATGCCCTCAGCTACTCAGCTCCTCAAGGTGACTGTTCAATGTGATTATGGTGACCTGCAAGCATTGTTGAAGGCTGGCAGCTTTGTCTTCCAAGCGTTCTGGCATTTGCGGCTCCAGGTGCAACCATGTCGATACAATGACAACCACGGCGCTGTCTGGTTCGCTGATTCACGAGTGTGGGATGACCTTACCCTGATTGAGGCGCCTGTCCTCTCCATGGATTGCACTGAGCCACTTGGCTCTATTTCTCCTGCCTTGACTCCTTTGGTTGATTGCGAGGTGCTACAAAGCTCCATCCAGCAAATCACTGCGGATAAGTTGCCACCTGGTGCATATTTGCTGCCGCTCAAAGAAAGCATGGCTCTTGCTCAACCAGCTTATGTTCCTCCGGAGACTGTCAGGTTGCTCAGTCACGGTGCCTCCATGATCTTGGGCATCTTCCAGGGCTGCAACCATTGGGCCTACTTTGTGGCAGTCAGATCCGCTTCAGAAGCATCCTTGCATTACTTTGATGGTTTGGCGCATCTGCTGCATCCAGAGATCAAGAACATTGCATGCTGGGTCAAGCACCTGTGGGGAGCCCGTCAGGTTGCTATCCACTATGACCGTTGCATCATTCAAACTCGAGAAGAGGTCAGTGCAGTGATCGCTCTGGGCCACCTGGCGTTGACGTGTGGACTACAGTGCATTCCCACCTGCGAACAGCTTGCGCAAGTCCACCAGGCTCTCCTTCCAGTCTCGCAAGTGACTGTCGAGGATGAGGAGGTCATGGTCACATCAGTCGGCCTGGATATGGTCACCCTCCAAGAGGCCATGGAAGAGGTCATTGGCATTGCTGATGTACCAGTGTGTGCGCCTCCGGTTGCCTTAGTCCATGCATGGATGCAAGGGGATGAAGATGCCTTGACCGACTATGTCTCAGGCCACAAGCTTGATGTGTCGCCATTGGCCTGTATGGTCTGCCTGACGCATCACTGGTTTCTTGTGGCGCTGACATGTACTGGCGACTGGCTGGATGTGGATTACTATGATGGCCTCACTCACTGCCATGAAGACAGGGTCCGAAGCCTTGCCACCTGGGCAGTTGAACAGTACAAGTTGAAGGGCTATGTCATGAACTACACCACGATGCATGGGCAAAAAGAGCCTGATCAATGTGGGGTAGTGGCACTGGCCAATTTGATGGGTGCTTTGCAGGTCAATCAAACTATGGCTCCCGTTGAGTTGGACCTTTGGCGTGATCTTCTCATGGCTCGCAGTCGCGGTCGAGGAGGCCCACGCGGATGCGGTGGTGACTATGCCAATGTTGCTCCGCTACCATCCAGATTGGCTACGCTCCTTGAACAGAAGGGGGTCCCGGGAGACCGTTCCTCAGAGCGTGCATTGGCAGGTCTACAGGTGGTGGGAGAGGCTGCTGTTGAAGCTGCACTCGCTTCCAAGAACCCATGGGCTGAACTCAAACAGGTTGCATCAAAGCCTACCAGAAGGTTCCTCTGGGTGAAGCATGATGAGCTCATGTTGCAGGTCCGCAACAAAGCAGCGGGACAGTTTGGTGTGGCAGCATCCAACAAAAGATCCGATCGAAAGAAACCACGAGCTGACCCAGGTCCGTTGACGCTGAACCCTGAACAGCTGATGGTCATGGCTGACCAATTTGTTGATGAAGCTGGTGATCCGGTGGCAGCTATTCCGTTCACTGGGGTCAAGAATCAGGCCCAAGGACTTGCTTTGGCCACACCTGCACAGGTCATTCCGTTTCTGGCCGAGGGGAAGTCCTTGAGTGTGGGGCCCTTAGCAGTGTTGACAGTTGGAGAAGTGCCACATGACCAGCATGGTCTACTACCTGTTGATGCTATTCGATTCCCTGCCGAATATGTAGGCACCAAGGAGCCGATCCTGGTTCAGGGTTCATTGGTTCAGTTGGGTGACATCACGGTGACCCGACTGCAGGACAATGTCAAACCTTCCATTGAATCCAATCGAACCTGTACACACCGCCTCACAGTTTTCCGTGATGAGTGGGAAGCCTCTGATCTTGGTTGGGATGAAGTATGTCGAGGCCCAGTTCGAGCCCTTTTTCATCGGCAGCCTGCCTTGACTCTCTGTCGAGGCACGGCTTGCGGAGGTCAATGTGCTAAGTACCATGCTCCGGTTGATGTTGATTGTGACAGCTTGATCACTGATCTTTGGGACCGTCGATGGAGCAAGAGTGATGGAGGAGGTCGAGTTCAACCAGACAAGGCCGCATGCTTCTCAATACTCATCCGAGTCCTTCAGCCTGCAGATGACTGGATTCAACAGATCTCGGGCAAGATTGGAATCTATGTTGAGCCACGACAGACGGATGGCAAGGGCCCTCGTACTGATTTTGGTGTCATTTGGCTTCCTCAGGCTACACTCCAAGATGCTGAACACCGTCAGAAGACAGTCGAAGGAGTGGTTGCCATCACTCGATTGGGGCAACGCTATGGCCTGCGCTTCCAGGACTCAGCAATGGAGGAGGCATTCAAAATCCTTCGTCCAAAAGAAGAATACCACAAAGTGGCAGTTGACAAGATCTTCCTGATGTATCCTCTGCCTCACGGCACCACCCGACAAGGTTTGCAAAAGAGCCTGAAGGAATGGGGATGGGACGCCAAACCCACGCAACCCACTCGAGGCGGCGCTGAAGGGGCAGGATGGCATGTTGGCAGTGCTAATGCGCCACCTAAGGTGGTGTTACAAAGTGCCCAAGGAGATGTTGTGGTCACACCGGTCCGCTCCATGCAGGTGACTCGAGAGCCTTCGCAGGTGTTGAGTTCCTTCAAGACCCGAGCACATCTGAAGACGCATGCTGCCAGTAGCTCCAGTGGTGCGGTAGATCCTTGGGTTCAACATGGAGATCCATGGGCTTCGTTCAAGCCCACAGCGGTGACACCCGTGGTTGCCGCACCCCAACAGCCGCCTGCAGTACAATCCAAGCTCAAGGAGGTGGAACATAAGCTGAGAGCAGATGTTCGGACAGCGGTTCGTCGGGAGTTGGAGGAGCAAGCCGCCTGTGAGGATGATGCTCGCATGCAGTCAGATTGGGATAGTGATGTGCGCCTATGCCGATTGGAAACATCCATGACCGAGCTCAAAGCGCAAAGTGCCCGCTATGAACAATGGTTTGAACACAGCTCTCATGTTCAACATGAGCTTGGTGCGCGAGTAGACATGCTTGCCCAGGATCTTCGTGCTCAGAGGGAGGACATGCAAGCGCTGGATGGTTCGACGCAGAAGCAATGTTCGGAAACCAAAGCCTCAGTGGCGCAAATCCGTGCTGATGTGGCCGAGAGCATGCAGAAGGGCTTTAATCAGATTGAAGCTATGCTGGCAAAACGACCCCGCGTTGCCAGCCAAAGCCCTCATGAATGACTAGGCCGAACGAGACCCCGAGGTCGATGCCCCTTGGGAGTGCTCGATGGCAGACATGGCATCATGCTCAGATTCGTGTGGCACCTGCTTGGATGGCTTTTGATACCCCAGGTTGATGCCCATTTGGGGGTGGCTGAAGGATTGTCCGGTACCTATGTTCAGAGTGCTTGTGGTGGCCCTGCATTGACGCCTGACTCCTTCGCCAGCAATACAGTAGTTTGTGATGACCAGTTGGATGACACCGCATCGGCTGACTCCTTTGCCCGGCTCTACTATGTCAGAACGGACGCGCCACCTGGTGCGTACTGTTTCCTTGGGTCGGGGAGCGGCCTTGTGAGTGTTCATTCACCTGCCTGGCAAGCCGATGTGCTTCGGTTTGGTGAAGCGACCCATCCGGGTCCGGTTTGGCTACCTGACGATCAATTTGCCCTTGGCACGATGAATCCCTTGAAGGTATATGGACAGTGGCTGAAACCCACATCAGCCTCCCACTGGCCCGGCCAGTTCTTGGTGAACTTCGTAGAACAGCTCAAGCCTGTGGTCGAGACTGCCGTTTTTTGCTGGGTGCACCAGTGCCATTGCGTACAGCCTCTACCACCGCAGGGACTTGGAGCGGTGTCCTCCACATAGCTGACTGCCCCTCTCGTTCCGTTCAAGCGCAGTGGCCGCATGGGGAGTTCCAATCTGGACGTGTGGCTTTGGCCCAACATTGGTTGGGCAGCTTGAGCGTTTCAGGTGCAGCAGTCTATGCCTGGTCACCTGGTCCGACATGGCCAGGAGCCAGGAAACTCACCGGGCGCCTCTTCGACACACTCACAGATGTCATGGTGCATAACCGTCAGGGGTGCCGCTATGTGAGTGGAGATTTCAATTTGATGTTGGAGGAGATTCCTGCCATTGAGTACTGGCGAAGTCTTGGCTGGCGTGAAGTACAAGAATTGGACTGGATGCTGAACGGTGTCCCAGTCCGCCCAACATGCAAAGGGGCCACCCAAAAGGATTTTGTACTGGTCTCTCCAGAGTTAGCCGCACTCTTCCATAGTGCGGAAGTTCTGCCGGTGTTTGCCGACCACTCTGCAGTGTTTGGCCGCTTCAAGATACCCACCCATTCAGTCGCGAGTTGGGTCTGGCCTATGCCAGCTCGTACGGATTGGAAGCAGGTGGATGTAACTGGCTGGCAAGCTCAGTGGCAAGATCCGTCTCAAGTGCAGTTAGCTAAAGGTGATCACACACATCAGTTCCGCTGCTGGGCTCGTGACTTTGAGCGTAGCCTGAATGGTCATGTCACCACACCCAGCACACTTCCACCGAGTCAATGGCTGGGTAGAGGACGCCATCTTCAACCCACTCAACGTCTCCAGCAAGCTCCACTATGCAGGCCATCTAGACAGGGTGACAAATGCTTGCGCTCGGATTTTGCTGCCCGAGGAGTTCAGTTGTGGTTCCGTCAACTGCGACGCCTTCAGGCTCTCCACCAAAACATGATGAAGAATGATCAGCACATCAATGCAGTCACGTACCGATTAGAGTGCTGGAGCTCCATTTTGCGTGGCAAGGGCTCGTTGGAGGCTTTGCACACTGGTGGCTGACACGCCGCATCAAGTTGCAGGGATCGCCAGAGACCTTGGATGATTTAGCGCCTTCTCCGCCCATTGTGGCTCGCATGTTTGACGACTTCTCCCACAACTTTAGGCAATTTGAATCTTGGAACTGCAGGAAACAGCGGGAAATCAGCCGTGCTCGCTTGCAAGCTTTTCGACACCAAGCTTTCCAGCGCATTCGCTCTCGCTCCAAAGACTATGTGGACACACTGGTTGAGAGCGCTGATGCTGAGATTCTTGCAGTCTCGGAGCAGGGTGACCAAATCCAACTTGAACATCCGCTTGAGAATACAATACATGACCACTTGTCCTGGTGGATTGATGACATGACTGAGATCCAGGTGGAGCATGTGTCTCATGATCTCTATCGAGTCACGGAAGCTGATTGCATCATACAGGCCGGGCAACTGCTGACTTGTAAGAGTTACTGCACAGAGGTTTCCACTATTCATCAAGCTCTCGGAGACTTTTGGCAACAACGGTGGAGCAAACATACAGACGTTAAAGAGTCAGAGTGGCACCAATGCCAGGTACACTGATCGGTCGGCGCGTGGAGCTGATGGATTCCATCCTCATGATTTGGTGGTCATGCCTCGAGCATTTCAAGCAGCATTACTCCGACTATTGCAATCGGTGGAGAACTCCTCCATGGGTTGGCCGCAACAACTGCTCACAGGCTTCACAGCCTGTCTGGCGAAAACTGATGCAGCTGCGGCGGTATCGCAATTCCTTCTCCTGGTCATCTTTCCTGCTATTTATCGCAGCTGGGCTACAGCCAGAGCGGGACCTCTTTTGCGCCACATTGCTGAATTGGCGACTGACACTCAATTTGGATTCATGCCTGGCAGGGAATGTCTGGAGATCACCTTCGTGATCCCCTGGTGGAACTCATGTCTTTGAGCCATGGTGACATCCTCCGAGTGCCAGTTTTGACATTGGCTCGACATATTGGAGCACCTCCTCCAATGCTCCAAGCCTGGGAATCTTTCATGACTCACATGGAACGTAGGTTCAGTTCCAAGCGCGGGGTGCTACAGGTCCAGCACACACTTCCACAGCAGGTGTCCGGGAGGGATGCGCGGGCGATGAGTGTGGTCGATCTTGCTTTCCACTGCTACATGAAGGAGTTTGCTCCTAGGGTGCTGCTAATCTCCTTTGTGGATGACTTAGGCATGCTGACAGCTCAAATGCGAGATCTGTTTCAGGGCACCGTCGTCATGCAAGAGTTCATGGCCATGTGGCGACTGGATCTTGACCATCGCAAGACCTGGACCTGGTCCACTGCGCTGCATGAACACCATGACTCAAGCACACTTGGCTTTGAGGTGAAGACACATGCTTCGGACTTAGGTGCGCAGTTGAGCTATACTGGCCGGCGTCACGTTGATCAGGTCCAACAACGGATTGCAAGCCTTGGTCCGCTGTGGCCCAAGCTGCGTCGCATGGAGGCACCTGATGAACTGAAACGCTAACTTCTGGTTGCACCATTCTGGCCACGTGCCCTGCATGGCAATGCTCCCAATCTGGAAAGCGTCCCGGTTGCAAACGAAGGCGAAAGGCCACCGGCAAAGTATGCCAGTTGCAGGATGGCACTATGGCTCGCTCTAATGTCAGCCAAGGGACCGCACGAAGTACAGCGATGCCAAGTCATCAGGCACCGCACACCAAGGACACAAACCAGTTTGAAACCGATCAAAGCGCCAGTTAAAAACGAGGTTGAAAACACTCCCTCTTGTAAAGCCACAATCTGACCAGCGGCAAGTGGTGTCAGCTCGATGGCGGACGGAAGTACGGACCACTTCCATCCATGCCGTCTCCAGCAATTTATGCAAAACCGAGGTAGGAATTTGCAACAGATCAAATGCATGTCCCCCACGAGGTTGAATCCATGGTGGCTCCAGCAACGTCCAGTGCAATGGTGCTAACACCTCAACTGACGATGATGCTCCTGCCAAAGTGTCAGCAGCTGGTCTTGTTTGCCCGCCATCCTCCTAAAGCTATCAAGCACCAGGAGCAAATGGTAGCAGCCAGGGTCTCTTCAAATTAGGAAACATTGCCAGTCGGACTGGGGGGCCGCTCCAGCACGTCCATGTCCCAATGCTCGGACTGCTTGTGTCCTCAAAGAAGCCAAATGAGAGGCGCCTAAGAGGCATACAAATGTCACTTGGTGAACTCTCCATTCCATGTTTTGACTTCGCTTTTGCTGCTGATGTCACTGTGCCTTGGCATGACATTTTTACTGATGGCTCTTGCCTGCGCCCTGACCAACCTGAATGCTCCTTGGCAGCATGGGCTTGCGTGTCAGCTTCGCAGGGCCGTTGAAACGAAGGTTATGGTCTTGATGCGTGCACAAGCGGCGCCATGGCCAGTGCTTCCGGGCCCTCATGTAGTGGGAAGCTCCGGGGTCTGAAATAAGTCGGACCATGTCCGTGATGGCATGGCACTGTCGGCCCAGAGTGAAATGGCCACACCCTCTCGAGCTGCCCAAGTGACCGCTGCAACCAAAGCCATTGTTTCGCTACGATCAATCGATTGGCAGGACCCCGTCCAGCTCTCCCCGAGCACGTTTGGTTTTGTGAAAAGCAGCGTACAGCGCACGTGCACAGCGTATGGCTCACCTAGTGCTTGCTTCTTTGGGGAATTTTCGTTTTTGGAGTGCTTGGGGTTGGAGCTGAGTGGAGGTCTGTAGTAGAGAATGGTGTCAAGATTGTAGGAGAGGCTGCGTGGCGGTGCTGTCGACAACTGCAAATCGTCCACCTGCCAGACACAGTAGTCGGTCTGTTGCATGGTGCCTTCAGTAAGTGTCAAGTGCTACGTGTAGTGGTCGCCCCAAGCTGCAAGTATTTCTTTTTTTCCACGAGTGCGGACGCCGTGTGGGCATGGTGCCCAGGTCATCGTTGAAGGAAGGGAAGAAAGGCAGATGGTGGAGAATGGAACGAAGACCCCAAAAAACCAACCCAAAACCAAACACACAAGCCCGCAGGCCGACTCCACCATCTTGTAGTCTTCCCTATACACTAGGTGAAACGTGTGAAACTGAGACTAGTGACAACTAGTGGGCCTGAATTCGCAAAAGAAGGGGACTGCAGCGCAAGCTGTGTTCATGGAAAGCCGCCTAGAAGGCTTCAAACAGACTTTCCTTACCAAGTGTTGATGACCAGCGGCCACACCACAGTGTGGCAAAACAAGGTCACTTTGCAGGTCAGGTGTCTCGCAATGCTCCAGCAGTGGTTGTAATCAAGCCAACCGAATGTACGAAGATCTAAGCAGCAATCCATGGAAAAGACCATACTTGTAGCACAACCCGTTCAACCAGTGGCGCATACGAGGTCAGGCACATGCTGCCAGACAGAATTCAATTACGGCGGCAATTCCTAGCGAGAGAAGCCTGCAGCTAAGGGTGAATCGGGCACCACCTCCCCGTGGGGAGGCAGACCCAACACCCTTCGGCACACCACGGTGCCAAAAAGGGGGATGTCACTTGAGTCTGTGCGGCGCTGTTTAATGGCAAAAGGTGAGAGGTGCGTGCAAGGCCCGTGTGAAACCTGTGAAACATTGAGCTCTCCTAGCATGATATCTGTACCTCTTTGTACAAAATTGGAAATGTCGGACATCAACAGCGGGAACTAAGGTTCCCCCTGGGCATCCTTCATTGCCACTATCTACCACCCGCCGTGTAGGAACGCAGAACTAAGGTTCTCGCTCCTATCGGCTCACTTCGCAGCGGATGGCGAGAAGAGGTCATGGTTCTGCTTGGCGTCTGTGCATTTCGCTTGCCGCGTATGCCTGGAAATCATCCTTTTCTAATGCTCAAAACTGACAGTTGGCTCAACTCACCGCTCACGTCGCACTTGCTTCTCTCCTGGCTCCGAAGCATAGCTTCGCTGAGGCTGGTGCTAGATAGTTTGTGTCGCTCAAGGTCATTTGCGTTATAGGTCATCGAACGCTATGGTGTCGAAAACTTGCATCTCGGGGCGCCAACGTCCCGCAGCATTTGACACCTAAACCAGTGACCGGCTGCTGTGTCTGGCAGGTGGACGATTTGCCGTTGTCGACATCACCGCCACGCCGAGACCCTTCTCTATCCGACAGCCTCTGGGCACTTACTCCATGTATACCGGAGGGCAACTATGGTTAGTAACTCGTGTTGAGGAGTACTATTTCGCAGTTGCTGGCCTACTCCGGACCCGAGCTAAGGCTCGCACCCAGACCCTAACCAAATTGATATCAGGGCCACGACAGCTGTGGATGGAGGGATGATCCTCTATCCTAAGCCAGGGGTGTAGCCCATGTCTGGGATCATGGTGCAGCCAGGGTGGCCATTTCATGGCCGGACAGATGGCAAAAGCATTTTCTTCAGCATAAACCCCATGCCATCTGCGTGTTCCGGGCATTTTGACCAGCCTCCGAAGGGCAGTGCAGTCCAAGAAAGCCCTACTTCCAATATACTTGAGAGCAGGTGGAATGGCAAGCTCAACAAGGGCGGCACAGTTCATAAAGGCTTTAACTCGGATTGTATGGAGGGTTGTCGGTAGGAAGACTTCCCGAAGGCTAGTGCAGTGGCCAAAAGTGAGTTCCGGAATTTCTTCAATGATGGTGTTACGGAGGTCAACACTGTTGAGCAGTCGACAACTGTCACAAGCGTGCGCTCCTATGGCTACAAAGTGCTTTGGGAGAACGAGCGTGTAGATGCCTGTAGAGCTGAGGCAGCCCGGAGCTAGCTCTCTGGTCCTGTCTTGCTGGGTTAACCCGTTCAATTCAGATCGGGGGGATGAAACCTCACTCACGGTGACCTCTGCAAGGTTGATGCACCCTTGGAAGAGGTATTGCCCGAAATTGGTTTCCCCGCTGAACACATTTACAGCTCCACCCGATGCATACACCCGCTGCAAGGAACAACATTCTGAAAAGGCTTTGTAACCAAAATCGCGACAACCCGGAGCCAAGACACTATTTAGAAGCTTGCAGTCCCGGAAGGCATTATCTGCAATGCCTACCACTGTGGCCGGCAGTTTGACGATGCGGAGTTGCCGGCAATCTTGCCACGCCTCTGCTCCTATGAGCCTGATCCCTGACTCGACGCCAACGTGTCGCAAGCGTGGCACACCTGCAAAGGCCCATTCTGGGACAGTTTCTTCTGAGTTCATTGGGACATGAACAGCTAAGGGGACTTGATCAATAGGATAACCACCGAGCTGTTCTTGTTCTCGCAGGGTAACACTACAGTCCCTGAAGACAATGGTATATTCTCTACCCTGCTGCAACTTATCCCAAATTGGGTCCTCTAGGTAGGTTTGCGTGGTGGTGTGTAAAAAGTCAATGACGCACCCAAAAACTGGGAGGTCAGTGACCGAGGCCAGATAATCCATAACCTGGTCTTCTAAATCTGTAAATCGGTCGAACTTGGCGACACTAAGAGAGACCTGAAAGGTTACCCCCGAAAGCGTTGTCAGCAAAAGGGGGCATTCCATGACTGGCTCCTTTTCGATGGGAGTGCTATTCATGGATGAGCTGTCAGACTCTTTTTGCGGTAGGCTATTTGCTATCATTGCGCGAGCCACTGGTGTCCGGTCTGCGCATGGGCTGTTCCTACGGCCGGGGCTATGTCCTTAAGACAGATGCTAAGGCACCTCCCTTGAGCCTCTCATGGCCTGGCACAAAGCTACGGGTACACATGGTTTAGCTCCTAGTCAGAGCGGTTGGCATGGCAACGTTCATGGCAGTGTAGCTCCGTAAAGTCTACCCTGGACTGGCATGATAGTGGCAATATTCGTGGCTGAGTTCCTCGTCAAAGGCATCAGAATCTGGTCCTTCCGCGGGGAGCAATTCTAGCCAATGAGGTTTTTCAAATTTGTCGCACATAAAAAAAGCATTGTGCTCTGCCTGCACCCACTGTTCAACGTCTCCCCAATCTAGGAGGGTAAAACGTTGCAGCTGCTCGCACCCGCAGAAGGCACGGTTGCCTATTTCACTGAGCTCTGTCGGGATGACAACTTCCTGCAGCACCACACAATTAAGGAAGGCTTCTTTTCCGATCTGTATGAGGCGAGGTGGAAGCCATATGCACTGCAACGCTACGCAGTGGGCAAAGGTGGAAGAGAGCAGGGCTGTGATCTCTGTGCTCATGAGGTTGACTTCCACTAGACTTTTGCAATTTTCACAGGCCCTCGGCCCGATGTTGTGAAAGTCATGCGGCAAACACAGCTGCTCAATGCCTGCTCCACAGAATGCGCCTTCAGGCAGTGCTCGTGGTTTATTCGTACGATCCGTGTTAAAGGTGACAGTTGCAAGCGTGAGGCAACTCTCAAAGGCATATCTGCCAAGCTGCGCGCCTGGTGCCAGGACGCTGCTGTCCTCTGAGTCGCACTTGACCCCAACGCTGCCTAGGGAACAGCACTCAGCGAACACCCTTTGTCCATAGTGGACACACCCTGGTGCAGCGACCTGACGCAGCACATAGCACCCCATGAAA